CTTTTTAGTAAACCCAACATAATTCAGTTCTCAAAATCCTCTTTTGGGTTTGTGATTGACCAAAATGTGATGAAACACCCCTCTTCTCAAACTTTACCATATGGGTGTTTGTTGTACTACATTTGTAATTGGCCAAATTGGGTGCATTTGTGACTGGCCAAATCCGAGTTTCTATAATTCTGTTGGTTCCATAGAGTTATCAGATTGAAAACTGGAGAGGTCTCTTGTACCTTTTACACTTATGTAGAAAAGGAAATTTTAGCAGGTTTCCCCCCCCCCGCCTGATTGTGTGGCAAGCAACACCTACTGAAATTCCTTCTTCTACACAATTATTAAAATAATAGTATCCCTCTCCAGTTTCCACTCTGTCAACTCTACTTGTGAGTGGTTGAGTGGTTTGAGTGTTGGATTAAGACTCTGAGGATCAGGATTTGAGTTCTTGCTCAGCCATGGAGACCCACTTAGGCAATCATACTCTCTCAGCCTCAAGGAAGGCAAAAGCAAACCCCCTCTGAACAAATCTTACTTTAGGGTCACCATAAGTCAATAATGGAGTTTATCACATGGGGGAAATCCCGTGTGAAAATGGGGTTTAAATTAGAAAAAAATCCACAAAAGCGGTCATGATTTCACACATCGTCACTGTTAAATTGATGTTAAAAGGAGGATAATCTGAACGAAAACCCCTAATTTACGCTTCTTTTTTACTTTCGGGAAAACCCGAAAGTAAAAATGAGGGTTTTTTGTTCGGATTAACCTCCCCGTTAACAGCGCTTTTACTTTTCACACAGGGCAGAACGGGAGAAATCCCGTTCATTAAAAGCTTCTGCTTTTGCTGCATTTTTTTCACTTTAAAGAGCGATTTTGCACAGGGCTCCCCATGTGATAAACTCCAATGACTTGTGGGCACACAACAGCAACAACAACAACTCTACTTTGGCCTACTGTGGTGTGTGGAGTGAAAATTGACCCACATCTACTGTATAGTTGCTGACCCTAGGGGTGTAGGCAAGTCACTTCATTCTCTTGTTATTGTGTTATTTGAAACACACATTTAGCATCAGCATCATCATCAACAACAACACAAATTTGGGGTTTGAGTTGGGGAAATCTGCTGCCCTTCTCTTTCCTATGGTATCAAAGTAATGAAAGGCCCACAGTTAACAGCAGCCGCATTATTCCCAATCTGCTTGACTAATTTCCAGAAAGAGAGAAGAAAACAGTTGCCAGTTATGTGGGGCTGAGGAGGGTTCAGTAGTATCAATGTAGGTCCTTCATTTGCTTCCTGATCAGTATGGCCGTTAGTGGAGACAATGCCAGCAGAGCAGATGCAAAACCACAGAACAGGGAAGGATGAAAAGGGAAAGGGGCAGCGGGAAGGGGGGGGGAGAGGTCTGTTTATTCCAGACCGCTCTAAAAATGAGGCAGCATTTTTTGGGGTGGAAAAAAATGACTCGGACTACATCCAATTAAATCTTCTAATTAAACTAAGGACACACGTATTCTCTGTCTCTCTTCTCCACTCCCCAGACTTTTGGGGGAAGGGGAAATGCTCATTCACAGAGATGACCCTCCACATATATCAATTCTAGGTACCACATCTAGCTCATTTTATGTTCTGCACATTATTTTAAAATGAATAATTAATGCACCCTGCATTCCAAAGTTCTGTTAATCATCCTTGTGATATACAATAACAGCAAAATAATAATAATAATAATAATAATTTTGAAGTTTATGGGTCACAAGGAAAGGAACCAAGCTGTAGTTTGTATATGTACATGTATGTGAATGAAGATATTGGGGGAGTAATTAATGCATCCTTCTCATTTACTCATGAGCCAACATGCAAAGAATTATGCTCTGTTTGTGATTCTTCTGTCATATTGCTAACATTTTACAAACCAAACTAATTATAATGAGCAGCAAATATTTTAGTCATTTGTCTGCCCCATTCTCATATAATGTATCGATCTCTGTGTCTATCTTTTGTTAGATAAAAAGGACTTCATGGATGAGAGAACACAGCTTGAAAAAGTTACTTTTTGAGACAACTCAAAGAAGAAAACAAAATAAAAACGTACAACTCCACAATGTTGATGACAAAGACGATGGTGGGGATTATGATGATTTTTGTCATCTTGACCACATTCTTCTTCTTCTTCTTCTGCTATTTATTTATTGTGCTTTCTAGGACTCAAAGGAGCTCACAATTTAAAAGAACAGTACAATTAAAAACATACAGAAAGTAAACTAATCTTGCTACTCTAATAAAAATGGGCAGGGAAGAAAGGAAAAAAAAGATGGGATGTTGGTGACTAGTGACCCTATGGCAGATTGTGGAGAAATTGACTACAACACCCAGAAACTCTCTGGCAGCATATGGAGCCTAGTTGCCCTGGCATTTGCTTCCTAATGCCAAGTGTTGATGCTGGGCCTTCTGGATCTGCATTGACTTTGCACAAATTTGGTGGAAAAGCATCACTGAGGCTGCATCTGCACTGCAGAAACACTCCATTGTGACACCACTTCAACTGCCATGGTCAAATGCTATGGAATTCTGGGAACTATAGTTTTGTGAAACGTTTAGCCTCCTTTATCAAAGAGCTTTGGTGCCACAACAAACTACAGTTCCCAAGTTTCCACAGGACTGAGTCATGGCAGTTAAAGTGGTGTCAAACCGGATTATTTCTGCAGTGCATATGCAGCCTAAGAAAGGCAATCAGAAGTCCACTTCTGTCCACTTACAATCAAAATTCACTTACACTACAAGGGGCAGGAGTGATTTTGAAGGACTTGGACATTTTTTATTTTTAAGTATAGTTTTAAAAAATATGAAAATTAAAAATGAACTAAAAAGTAACATGATAACAAGTAATGTTATAAAGTTACTATAAAAGAACAAAGAGTAAAAAATTATTTTTAAAATAATTATCTGCACACTGGTCTGTACACATGTACACTCTGCAACTATTTTGATCTTGCATGGACAGTTTGGATCAGTCCTCTGTTGTCCCACTTTTTCAGCTGCTTTTAAAATGTCCCAGTTTCTCTCTCCTCCTCTCACTTTCCCCTCCTCCTCAGCTTACCTCCATTGGTACCACTGAGTTCAAAGTGCAAATAGCTGGCACTCAAATAATTCAGCAGGGAGGAGAGAAGGGCCAGTCTTGTCCTTCCCAGTAGACTTGGACAAAAGCAAACTGCTTCAACCTCTCCTAGCTTGTGTGTTCTTCTTCATTTATAACTTTTGTCATCTTGCCCACACTCTGATGTTGTTTGGCCATGTGTGTCCTAGTTTTCACATGTGGGCGTTTTCACACGGGGCTTTAGG